CCCCCGTCTCATGTGCAAACCTTCGGTTAAAATTCGCTGGACCGTGCTCCATGAGATGTTCGTTTCCTCAGAAAGTTGGTCAATGGTCTTTCGACGATCTTCATCAATTTCACGCACACTCTTTGTTCCTTCTGGTCGGCTGTCTCACTAATCGCCAAAGGGTTGAAACAGGAACGCACACAACAGAGCACCACAGACAAACCACTTAACTCAGACTGACGCCAGCTCACTAACAGTCACGAGAGACCCCCAGCTAACACCACCTAGCAGCACAACTCGTAACTACAAAGCATGCACATGCAACAGGTTGTTTCCGGTTATTTTTGGGTCCCCCCTCGTATGCAAACCAGAAGACGAGAAAGACGTAAGAAGATGCTGGATGACCTTGGGTACAGAAGAGGATATTCTCATTTGAATGAGAAAGCTAAGATCGCATTAAGTGGAAGAACTGTTTTGGAAGAGATTGTGGACCTGTCGTATGACAGATTACTGATGAATGAGTGAAATGTTCACACAACCTAAATTTCGTTATATCTTTGAGATATTTTACTCAAAATATCTTAATCAAATGATGAAAATAATGACTATTGTTTTATGTAAAATGTTTCTTTATGCATGAAAGAACAACAGAGTTTTATTTGTAACTGAATTTTGAAATTCTAAATACAGATTTTGTTTCATGAAATTCCCCTGAGGGCTGCAGAAATCTCAGCCTATTAAAGGATTTATCCAAGCAACGGTTCTCACCCCATTATCCAAGAAAATATCAGAATATGCCATAAACATGTGATAACTTTCAATCTCATCCATCAGCCCTTTCATAAAATCCACACGCCTGAAACCTCATGATTTAATCATGATAATTCATTAAAGCACACAGTGGCGTAGCTGGTTGAGGCACTATGCTAAATGCTGAAAGGGCGAGGTTTCAGGTCCTGATGAGGTGAATTTTTTTCAGTTTACCTAATCCTTCTAGCAGAACTATGGCCCTGGGGTTGACTCAGCCTCTAACAGAAATGAGTACTAGGAATCTTCCTGTGGTAAAGGGTGGCTGGCACATAAGGCTGACAACCTTACTGCCATCTGTGAGCTGATTGTCTAGAGAAAATGTGGGAACCTTGATGTCTCATGACCCTATGGGCCTACACAGCTTGTTAGAGGGATAGTTTTACCTTTACCTTTACCCTTACCATTTTATTTAAGAAAACTCAGTCCAGTAATGAATGTAACGCATATTGTTTTTGTGATATATGTCACTAGGTATCAAAGCCTGTTAGAAATTCAAATGCAATTGAATCATCCACTTCCAATGGGTGACTTTGCTCCTCTCATGCCCCAGAGTGTTGTAGACATCTCAGAATGTTTATAGTTTTCTCCAAGCATATATTCTTCCTTTGTTTTACCATAAAGTACCAATGAGAGACAGAGGTTTCTAATGTCACTTCAAAAACAATTATGCTCATCTAGTTGACAATTTCTGAAAATCAACATTCATGAATGTAAGATTTCTTCAAGATTCTGTACCAACATTCACCTGGGGATCTGAGGAATACCAAGAAAATCCTCATGATAATTGCTATGCTGACCAAGATCAAAACCTGGCACCTTCAGAATATATCAATTGACATCACTCAGTATTTTATTCTTCTTCTGTTACACCAGCAGCTGAGTACATTGCAGTTCTGCGTGATCTGGTCATTAGGAGATATGTTTCATACTGTATACTGTGAGACTGCCTTATGCCATAAATTAACACATCATATATTGTTAATATATGTATATGCTGCATTGTCCTAGCCAGGTGTATTATGATGTCATGGACACTGAAGAATAGATAAGCAAGCCTGTAAGTGTACGTATATGAATCAGAATCAAGTTTCCTTTAAGTGTTTACCTTCTGTACTCAGCTTCATTGAAACTGAACTCGAGACCAAACACATGAACAGACATACATACATAGCTGTATATCAACCATAGATATGTTTTGTCAGTTTTATCTGATCTACATGATTGCATTCAAAACAATCACATGTATTACATCCATGCATAGATACTTTACATTAGTCCTGTGGTCTCCTGCTTCTTGTGATTCAGTGGCAACATTGATTTTTTTATTAACTTTACAGGAACTTGTGTGGAAGTCAGTTGGGCTGATGACTGGACAAAATTATACCGAAGTACCAATTGTGTTTGAGGATGTACGGTTCCACAGGGCTACTAGCATACCCAAGCAAGGTTCGTGTATTAGCATAGTTCATTGCACTGTGAGTGTGTATGGCAAATCTGAATGGTGGATACTTATATTTCTCTCTCTTTCACCAATATGTGTAGCTTTTCTAGCCCTCCTGTTTGCCAGTGAAATCTGGGCAGTGAAGGCCAATGATAAACCAAGAAAATTGCTGAAATTTATGGAAGATGTGCAACAGATAATTCTGCTGTAGCCTACCTGACTCCCTGGCTGTATGGCCGTTTGTTTTTCAGAATAGTAGTTTAGTTTGTCTGGTTGGTGAATGATTGAAGCTTGTTATTGTAATCTTATATACTGTGATATTAGAGTCAATTTTACTGACCACACAACATATTTTTATTATTATTACACTACATGTTTTGACCTCAAGAGGTCATCCTCAGGTGTACGAACACAGCTGTATAATTACACGCAATCACATTCGTCTTTTCACTTATTCGATCCTGTATCTTATTCAGGCCCACGCTCAATAATATATCAAGTTCCTCTCACAAAACACAAGTTAAAATATTATTCTAAATGTCAAAAGTTAAAATTTAAAATTTAAAATTTGGGAATCGAATTTCAATTCAGATCACTAGTGTGCTTTCACTTTCACTTGTACAGTCACTTCCTACTTACGCTCATCACGGTGTCAAGTTCACTTTAACTAGTTTTAATTATATTATTGGTTAAAAAGTTCATGAATTAAAGTTCAATTTTATTATACATGGCACTTTCTCGCTTTTTGAGGTCTTGCTGTTCTACTGCGTCTTCTGAAGTTGTGGATCTGTTACGGTCCATGTCATGATGGCTTGATTTATTGAGCGTGAGCCTGAATAAGATACAGGATCGAATAAGTGAGAAGACGAATGTGATTGCGTGTAATTATACAGCTGTGTTCGTACACCTGAGGATGACCTCTTGAGGTCGAAACATGTAGTGTAATAATAATAAAAATATGTTGTGTGGTCGGTAAAATTGACTCTAATATTAATTAAATACACAACAGGATGCAAGAAACAATTAAAGTTATATACTGTGACATGTAGGAGTGATTATAGACAAGGGTTTGGATTGGCAAATTGATTTATTGACCACTTGCAAGTCGTAACTACAATTAATTATAACACTCTAAGAATTACTGTAATTATAAACACATAAAAAATGTCTTTAATGTCTGCTTACACTAGTCATTGCTAGGTAACAGATCTCAACAGTGGCTCTTCCTCTGCAAAGCTTTTCCCTGTCTGTTCCCTGACAACAGATTTTAACACAGTATCTATAAATGTCACACTCCAAATATCACTGCACTACAGCACTCATAAACTCTTCAAATCACACATTAAGTCTTCACAGGCCGACTTCTAATTCTTCTTCAACTACAAACATCCCATGGCTATCTCCAACCAAGAGCTGAACTTGTAGCACCAATTGTCTTCAAGATAATTTCTCTGCACAGACCCCCAGAAAACATCGTCTACTGTTGTCAAGGATTTTTTTTACAGCTTTATTGCCTATCAATAGACATCCTATTGTTCTGCGCCTTTGGTTCTGCAGAACCAGATGGTAGTACCAGTTCCAGAAATTATGGATACATCCTCGTATGTGATAAAAAATCCACCTAAATAGCCTGGGGAACGTGTTTACAAACCCATTGCCTAGCAATGGATGTGCATGCAACAATATAAAATCACTGTTCTTCATGGGATTAGTCCAGAGCTGTGCTCCAACCTTAACACAATTGAACTTCATCTTGTAACAGCAAATTCCCATTCTAGCATGAGAAAATATCCACCTGAATAGCCTGCTGCTAAATGCCCATTATATTACGTATATTATTTATCTGTTTGCTTACAGGAAACCTACACTTCACTGTTATGATCCAGAAAGTGAGTGGGAAGTTTGAAGTAACAGAGAGTAATGCACCAGTTTTGAGTGGTTCAGTGCGGGTGCCCACAAACATCTCCCATGAAATGGTGGCATTGGAGCCCCCCAGGCCAATTGTTAATGAAGACCTGCTTGAACTTTCATCAGAAGATATCTATAAGTATTTTCGTCTGTGTGGATATGAATATGAAGGGCTTTTCCGTGGCCTTGTTTGTGCAGACAACCATGGTGGGTACCACTGCATACTGTACTACACAAATAGTGTCACTCTGTCTTTTTGGCTATGATTTTAACAGTAATGAAGTACCTAATGTGACCTTCTGCTGTAGAGACACATTGTACAGCAGAAGTATACCCAAGCTGACAAAACCATAAATTTGGAGTATGAGATATTTATTACCAGATATTAGATTTGCATGCACTATACATCTACAAAATATGTATGCATCTGTTCTCTAAAAATTTGAAAATTATACACTAAAAATGCAAAAAAAAATATAGAAAATCCTTTTAAAGGACAGGTGTACTGACAGTGAGTGTACCAGTTTTCTGATGATCCCTCCCAAGATTCCTGCCTTCACTATTTTTCCCAGCTATGTTTCGTCTTGCTGTATGTTAAACATTTCTGCATGTTGTCTGGAGGACACTGACACTTCTCTCTATGCATAAGTTTGTGTACTAACATCCAGGGTCTTTTGATACAGCCACAAGTAATGGCAGTATATACTGTGGAAAAACTAGCCCCTCTCTCTGTAAATATTCCTTCACACAAGCATCAGACTTATATCCTAGATTTATCTGCAGAATTAAGCATTTGTGAGATGGACTTTTACAGTTTGACATGAGCTTGAAGTGAGAATTTTGAATAATTATAGGAACTGAAATAGAAACAAGATTATTCTGTAGTATAACAAATGTTTCACTGTAGTAATTTATCTCATTGGCCAATTTTCTACTCTACCACTGCTGTTACATTACCCAAGTGTAAGATGACTCCACAATATTTGATTGAGAACAGTTTATCTTTCAATTGTTCACTTATGTAGTGATACCTAACATCTGTGTGCTTACTCCTACCCGTTACTTGTCCAGAGTCTGTTAGCTTGATTGCACTCTGATTGTCAACACACAGTTCAGCTTCCAACCTTCTTCCTGTCAACTCCTCTATCAACGTCTTTACAGTACTCAGCTGCTGCAATATATTCGGCCTCAGTGGTTGATAATGCAACAATACTCTGTTTCCTAGAGCACCATGATATTTGGCCCCCTGACCTCATAATTACATAATTACATATCCCGTTACACTCTTCCTATCCTTTACATCCCTTGCATAATCAGCATCACTAAATGCTTCCAGTTTCACAGTTTCGGAGTCAGATGAGGTATATTTTATTCCTGAATCTCGTGTACCTTTCACATACCTAAGGGTTCTTTTCACATTCTGAACAGCTATTTTGTCAGGATTTTCCAAGGTTCGACTTTCCACATTTACAGCGAATGCTATATATAGCAGGCTTCCTACAGCTTCTCTGTAAGGAAATCTTATGTCATTTTCTCCTTCGTCATTCGTTGGTGGGGTTGTGGCCATGGGTGTTTTCATTTCTCGACTTTCTTGCATGTTGTATTTTTCCAACATTTGGCTTGCATAGTTGGTTTGAGAGATATGTATCCCATCTGGTTGCCTCTCAATTTGTATTCCTAAATAAACTTTTGGATTTGTGGTCTTTGTTATCTGGAATTGATTTTCCAGTTTCAGCAAAATTTCCTCTATTTCTCTTTCATCCTCTCCCATCATTATCCTGTCATCCACATGAATGGCCATGAACAAATTATTGACATCATTCTTAAAAATGCATTAGTCAGATTTTAGTTGGTTTATAACTTCTTCTTTTAGAAAGGTTGTCAACTTCTTGTTCCATTGTGATGCTGCTTGTCTTAGGCCATATAATGCCTTTTTCAGGAGACGTATCTTGCCAGTGTTCTTGTATCCTTCTGGTATCTCCATGTAGTTTTCCTCGTCAAGGTCTCCATACAGGAAGGCAGTCTTCACATCGAAGGTTTGCATGTTCATATTCTTACGTGCTGCTATGGCAAACAGTACTCTAAGAGAATTCACGTCAACAACTGGGCTAAAGGTATCCTTGAAATCTATTTCCCCTTCCTTTTGTTGGCATCCTCTCACAACCAGTCTGGCTATGTGTCTTCCATCATCCTTTATTTTGGAAACCCATTTACTGGTCAGAATTGTCTTGCCCATTGCTTTCTCTCTGTTTACATATATCCAAGTTTTGTTTTGGTAGAGCAAATCCTTTTCTTCTTTAATGGCTTTCTTCCACTTCTCGCTGTCTTCGCTCTCCATGCACTCGTCTTATGTATAGGTGAGCATACCCTCCTTTTGACTCTCTGTGTGATAGTCTCGGTACTTTGGGTGCATTTGAATGTTTCTTCTTGGTCTCAATGCATATCCATGTTCGTTTTGTCCATTGTTTTTCCTTCCATTATCCTTGTGATCAGCATTTTCATTTTCTTCATCCTCTTCAGTATCTGTTGCTTCTTCTTCATTGTTGTCAGCTTTGGATTCTTGCTGCATTTCACTGTCTTCCCAATCTGGAGTATTTGGCTTGTCTTCTGGATCCGTCACTCTTTCCATTTCCGTTTGTTTATTTGTTGTCGCAGGTTTACTTGTGAATGTCACATCTCTGGAGACATAGGCCCTTTCAGTATATGGATCCCATATTCTGTAGCCATTTGTGTTGTATCCAACGAATATTCCTTTCTTGCTACGAC